TTATGGGCGCCGAGCTATGGGGTTTATTCCAAGGACTCCACCTAGCTTGGGATTTGAGGCATCAGAACGTTATCGCGGATGTGGATAACCAAAGTGTAGTCAACATGGTTACGGGGACCTCAATGGAGAGTTGGGGGGTGCACGGCGCGATAGTTAGAGCTATACGAGAGATGGTGCGTCGAGACTGGACAGTGCACATTGTGCACTGTCATCGTGAAACTAATTTTGCTGCGGACTGCTTGGCGACGTTAGCCCACACATGTCCCAATGGTTGTCAGCGACTGTTCGATCCGCCGACAGAAGTCAAACCGTGGCTAACGCACGACGTCTTTGGCGTTGCGTACCCACGGAACACGACTATCTAGAGGCGTTAGGCTCCGGCCTCCTTCATTTGTACCAAAAAAAAAAAAAGACTTTCTTCACTCTTCAGTCTGCGTCTATAAATAAACCCCACTGACATATTCAAAGTCCTCAAACCTCACAAAGAAAATATCTTTCTACTTAAACAGCTACAAACGCAGCTCCTAGTTAAGTTTTTTACACTACTCAAAAAACTAATCAAATTCCCTAAAAAAACCTCTTTCTTTTACTCCAAAAAACTGCTCTCTTTCTTCACTTTCAGCTCTCATTTCAATAGACCCTTCTGTTTTTTTCAAGCCCATTGTTAATTTTCACATTCTGATAGTATAATCCTCAGCTATTCTTGCAAAGTTTGTTAATTTTAAGGTAAAGGGGGCAATTTTTTTCAGAGCCCATCTTCCTCTGTTTTCAAAAACCAAGCTAAAATAATGACAACAATCCAAGAAAATTTCATTCCTTTTGCTAATCCAAACACTTCATCTCAAATTGCTCTATCTTTATCACAACTCATTCTCACAAGCAATTCATCGAACACCTTGGACTCGATTTTCTCCCATTGCCAAGAATCGAACCGTATGCCAGCGGGCCCGGTTCTCGAGCCGCTGGGCTCATCAGTGTACCTGAGGCAAAAAGACCTGTTCAATCAGCTCAATCAAGCAAACCCATTACCAATCACAAGGGTTACAGTTCCAATTTCGGATCTTGATTCGGGCCCGGGCCTCAAGCATCCAGGCCCGGCCAAGATCAAGATGTACAGAGGGGTGAGGCAGCGGCAGTGGGGAAAATGGGTGGCGGAGATAAGGCTGCCGCAGAACAGGGTCCGTGTGTGGCTGGGCACCTACGGCACGCCGGAGGCCGCCGCGTACGCTTACGACAGGGCGGCGTACAAGCTCCGTGGGGAGTACGCGCGGCTCAACTTCCCTAACCTGCGCGACCCGGCACGGCTGGGGATTGGGGGGCCTGACCTGGTGGACTCGCTGAGGCGAACCGTGGACGCCAAGATCCAGGCCGTGTGGCAGAAAGTGAGGCGGGAGAAGAGGGCCCGGAGAACCGCGGCGAAGAAATCGAAATGCGGCGGCGATGTTATAACTTCCGGCGAAAGTGAGGAGAAGGGAGCGGAGGCGACGCCGTCGCCTGCGGCGGCGGCGAACGCGGAGAGCTGGAGTGGTGGCGTTTCGGAAGATGGGGTTTTCTGGTGCGGCGGTGAATCGCCAGAATCGGGATCGTACGGGTGGAGATCGGCAGCGGAGGAGGTCGGGGGGTTGGAGATTGAAGGGTGGCCGCTGGCGCGGCTGCCGTCGTTCGACCCGGAGCTGATTTGGGAGGTTCTGGCGAATTAAGGAGTGTTTCAGGGATGGATTTGCAATTTGGGAGCTGTTGAGGGGTTTGATTTGCGGTTGCCGAAGTTTTGGGAGGGACACGTGTCGGTTATGTAGATGTTTCTTTCTTTTTTTTTTTTTTAATTAAAAAAAAGTAGTGGTGAATTTAAGTCGTGGATTTGGGTCGAAAATATGAGAAGCATTTTTCTGACCGTTGATCCCTAATTTAGTGCTTTTGTTGCTAAAAAGACATGTTGAATCCAAATCCAATTGTAGAATTAATGAATTTTCCATCGTTAAATGTAGGATTTATTTATTTTGGTATAAATAAAGGAGGTCGAATCCTAACACTTCTAAATGTCGTGCGTTAACCACGGTTTGACCTCTAGTAGTAAATCAAATGGTCTCTGACAACCAATTAGGACATGAATGATCTAACGTCGCCAAACAATCCGCAACAAAATTTGCTTTAGATAAAGTCTGAATAGGCCGAAGCACGAATGTGGAATGGCACTTTATAATTCGGCCTTATAAGGTTATGACCATATTTGACCTAATACTGAAACCCATATAATCGCCCTTGTGTTCTCTATGTAGACGATCGGAGGAATCGACCCTACATTGCCTTCGTGATTGTGTAGGAGCTAAGCAATTATGGAGAGCTTTGATTCCTGTAAGTCATC